CAAACTGATTTTAGTAATAAGTTACAATCAGGATTTGCTTCTGCTAAATTAGTGGAGGACCAAAACCCTGTCCTCTCCCCCCAGCATGTTTTACTACTTCTCTTACTGACCTTGTAACTTTTTTTTAAATAGCAATAACAGTTTACATTCTTAAAAAATATGAGCTTTTACCTGGTTTGTTTTGTGTGTGTGTACACATATAAGTATGTCTCTCTCTCTCTCTCTCTCTATATATATATTTAATTTCTTGCATTGATTTTTGAATTGAAAGAGAATTATTTATGAAAATATCTTAAATGCCAGCTCATACTTTACATTTTACATGTTTTACAGGAGTGATTTTAATGCCTTAAGTTACTTACCTTATGTATGAGAATTTCTGATATATAATTTTTTAAGGACTTAAAAGTAAAAAATAAACCCTTTCCTCTTGAGAATGATAAATACAAAATACTAAAAGATTTGTATACATGCACAAGTGGCTATCTAATTTAAAGTACCAATGTATTTAATAATTTCAGAAAATGGCTGGAAATTTTTATTTTGTAGTTGACTTAGCTAGCTGGCTAGCTAGTTGAGTAAATTGATTCCATTAAAAAGGAGATGCAAATTTTCTTAGGCTATTATGATTTTTGTATTAGATAACTGAATAGAAATATATCACTGGATGGTTATAAATAACTTGAGATGTACATTTTAATGTATAAACAACATATTTAAATGCCTATTAACTGAAACTTAATTTTATGAATTTTAAAGTTTTACTTCAAAGGTAAACTACTGAACTCTACTGAAGCAGTTCTTAGTATATTCTTGAGATTTATAAAAATTAATATACCCTAAAGAATTGAGGTGCCTTTTTTTCCCCTTAACTATTAAAGGTAATGAATATGTGATAACTTCTGAGTGGAAAAATTAAACCTTAGCTATTTTACTTCATTTAATACTTAAATGGTCAACTCTCTGTGCCTGATTGAATTTAAACCTACAAATCATATTTTTGATATATATATTAGCTTTCTAGGTACTGGGTCCATTTTGTCACATTTGGTTCATAGAAAGACTGATGTTACCAATCCCAGAGAGTTAAAATATTGCCAATCCCCATAGTAATTAATTCATTTTAAAATACAAAAACAGATTAGGCTTAAAATTAAATGTGCAATAAAATATACCACCCTTTCTAAATACTTACATTTTCTTTTAGAAGCATAAACACAATTATTAATCTTTTAAATTAATCAGTACATGTAGATTAATATTTGTGTGCATTTATCTTTAGATGTAAGCTTCAACTTTTAGTGGTATGTTCTCTTAGACAAACTAGGAGCACAGTTAACTGAATACTATGTCCCCTTTAGCTACTGCTTGCTTTTCTGGACTGAAAAAGACATTAAAAACTTTGTTGATCTCCATATGGCCATATATGATTGTGTCTGTTGTCATAACTTTCTTACTATGGCATTAAGCAGAAGTCCCTTTCTCCCTTTAGAGTATTTAAATTAGAATAGAAGGTATGAAGCCAGTATAATTGGATACTGTTCTAAAAATTATTTTTAAGAATACTTCTAATAAGGAAAAAAAATGCATTGTTACTATTTTGTGTGTGTACTTTAAACAATTCATGGTGTTTTCATATTATGGTAAACAGCCTTCATGTAGCATTTTTATTTAAATAATGTAGCTATCCACCTGCAAAAGTCTCAGTTTCAGCTCCACTTGTGGACTCTAGAAATTGGCTGGACAGTGTTTTAATTGCAGATAGAACTCAAGATTCCAGTCTCTTGACCCAACTTTATTTTGAGGTATTTTTTGTGTGTGTGGTGTGTGTGTGTGTTTTAACTTTAAACATCCTGTTTGTACCATTTTTCTCCTCCTTCCCCAGGTAGGGGAAGGTGGGAGAGGTAGGGATGCTTGTTTTTCCTAAGTCAAATAATTTAAATCTAACTTCAGGTTAAGCTTTGATTAATTCCATGACTGGTGAACTAAAATGATTGCATTAATTGATACACAGATACTAATATATGTGCCTAGGTTTTTTATAATCTCCCCTAATTTTAATCAAAAACTTAGAATTCCAATTCCATTATAAAACAAAAATGATTTTAAAGAACAAACCAGGATTCAAGCCCATATTTTAAAACTGCATCCCCAGTTTTACTCAAACAATCTGATGTCTGTTTTAAAAAGAAATTCTCAAGTAAAGGTCATAATTTCAAACTTCTTACACAAGGCTGTCCCAATAAATTATTACCAATGAAACAGACTTTAAAGTTATGTTTTACAATGCAGAGAGTGGAGGATGCTTTTTATACATTGGTGAGAGAGATCCGACAATACAGATTGAAAAAAATCAACAAAGAAGAAAAGACTCCTGGCTGTGTGAAAATTAAAAAATGCATTGTAATGTAATCTGGTAAGTTCAGCATATTAATTTTGGAAGAAAGCAGATGTCTTTCAAAGGTAACAAAGTAGCAGCCATGTTAGAACTACCTAGGTGTGGGATTCTGATTTGAAGTATTAAAAGATAAGAAATAGGTAGTTTGTTTCCATAATTAGTACATTTATTTTTAATATGCATATTAATTATAATTGATGCAGTTTTGATAGCTGTAGACTGCATTTGTCATCGGGTCTAGAAAGAAAAAAGAAAGGAAACTGCATAGAGAGTAAGGTTGAATGGTCCAAGGGTGGGGAAGGACCCACTCTTACAATGTATTCTTTCTTTTGGACATTCTGCAAGCAAATACTTATTCTGCCTGTTTTCTCTAACTCAGTGGCATCAGCACTTTTTTACCCAAGTAAGAAACTTGGGAGTCTTGGGATGACTCTGACATCCCTCTTTTGCACTCTCATTTGGAGGCAACCACAAATTCCTTTGATGTTACATTTTGACTTTTATCACATCATTAGTTCAGGTTCCTATCATTTCTTGCTGGGACTGTTATATTCTGTTATTTGGCTTATCTGTTGCTGCCTTTATTCATAGTGCAACTGGAGAGATACACTTAAAAGAAATGTCATTCTCTTTTCTTTAAGTCCAGTCACTGACTTCCTGTTCCCTGTGGAATAAAATCTCAAACTTCATAGTATGTTATATAGTCTTTTAACATCTTTCTACCCTTCTAGCCTTTGGCTTTATCCCTAAAAATTCCTTGCCTGAAGTTTTTTTTTGTTGGTTTTTTTTTTTTTTTTTTTTGTCCTTACTTGAACACCATGTTATTTCTTACCTTCCCTTGAGTCTTGGCTGTTGCTTTTGGTTGGAATGCCATTATCTTTATCCATAGTCTTATTAATTAGCTAACATTTTTTTCATGGTTGTTTATTCTCCAAGAATCTTTCTTTATAGCCTTAGACTAGGCATAATGCCCTTCCTGTGTATTCCCAATATACTGTTCTTAACTGTTACATGCTTGCCATGTTAAATTGAAATAAGCTCTTTTATGTTTGATTCCTATACAGTAGAATCTTAGCCAGAACCATGTATTTTCAATCTTTGCGTGATGATGGCCTAACAAGGTTCCTGGCACATAGTAGCTGCCCATTTGGATTTACTGAGTGGAATTTGTTTCCTTTCTTTTTTTTTAGATTTATTTATTTATTTTAGAGAGCATGTGCATGCGCTTGGGCGTGTACGCAGTGGGGGAGAGGGAGAGAGAGACTCTACGCTGACATGGAGCCTGACACAGGGCTCCATCTCACGACCCTGAGATTATGACCTGGGCCCAAATCAAGAGTTGGACTCTTAACCGACTGAACCACCCAGGTGCCCCAGTTTTCCTTTCTAAACCAATTACCAAATTTGGTCTTGCTCAGAAAAGATTTCACTCAGTAGTTTTTATTATGTGGATTTAAGGTCTGAAGTAATTAGTGTATCTCCCAAAAGCATAAAATGTACATCTGAATAGACTCAGTCCCAAAAGATAGATGCTATACTAATCTGCTAACCTCAGAAGAAATAAAGCATGACTGGTGTTAATTTTTATTGAAATTTATGAACTCTTAATATTTTTTGAGTATCATTGTATAGAACAATATCTTAATTTAGAAGTTCTGATAAAATTTAACATTGCAATGTAATTGAGAAGTTAAACTTTTTTTTAATAAAGATTTTATTTATTTGAGAGAGAGAATGAGACAGAGAGAGAGAGCATGAGATGGGGGAGGATCAGAGGGAGAAGCAGACTCCCTGCTGAGCAGGGAGCCTGATGCAGGACTCGATCCTGGGACTCCAGGATCATGACCTGAGCCGAAGGCAGTCGCTTAACCAACTGAGCCACCCAGGCGCCCGAGAAGTTAAACTTTTTAAATAACAGTAGCCATGACCAGATTTAGGTGGTGGGTTTTTTATTTTCTCCTCCTATTGTCTTACTAGAGGTGATTTTTAAAGTACAATAAAATAAGTTTTACAGTTTAACTTTTATTTAAAACAAAGGTGGAAGCACATCATTTTCTGATTTCTTATTTGTGACTATGTAGTGTGAATGTCAGTTGGTGGGCATGATGAATTAAATCCTTGTTTCTTCAGTGGGCATGGAAAGCATTTAAATAAAATGTACTTGGTAATACTTAAAGTTTTAAATAAAAATAGTTTTATAAAATTAAATTGACAGTAATAAATATATACAAATTAGATTTTCTTAGTCCTAAAATGGTTGGGTTTGAGCAAAATTACTGGGATAATATTTTTGTCTTTTATATATGTATATGAAAATGACTAATTCCCATATGGAAAAAAGGAATTCAGTGCCCTTTTTCTACTGATTATAACCTATCCCTAATCTTTGAAATTATTTCATTTTAATATGTTACATAAAAAAAGTTCAATATTAAGAAAGAATGCAATATTAACCTAAAGTATTTGTCAGAATCTTTGAAGAAGGTAAACAATTCTGTTTTCATTGTCTCCTAAATAGTTGTGTCGTTTTCACCTTAGAATGTATCTTCTCTATATCCATATCACGGTTTTTCATTTTATCTGCTTCACCATTTTAGTATCGTTTACATTTTCCTTCATTATAAAAGCAGTTGAAGTGGAGTAGACTACATAAGCTTGTGTGTGTGATCAAAGGGAATTTGTGAAGGGTGGGGGAGTTGGACTAGATCCTCTTTTAAGATTCCATACCATTCTAAGGATTTATGGTTAGAAATTAGTTGGGTTGGTGAGCTGTAAAATAATTCTTTATTATATCATTGGAAGTTTTTGCTTTTTATGTGTTAAAAGTGTTAGCATGAAGGTTTATATAATTAAGCCTTGATTGTATTGCTGAAAATTATATTTTATCACTTTTCCTCTCTCCTTTGGGTAAAGAAAAAGCATATGTGTGTCAGTAATGAATGATATCAGAAAGTGGAGAACATCAGTTGAGTGTAGTTTGAGTGTTTTATTGGGGACTTTTTCCACTAGACTTCACACAAAAACTCTGGTTTTTATCCAGAACTATTTATTTATTTACATATTAAAAGATTTATTTTTTTCAAGATTTATTTATTTTAGAGAGAGAGAATGGGGAGAAGGGGCAGTGGGAGAGAGAGAGAGAGAAATCCTCAAGCAGACTCCCTGTTGAGAGGAGAACTCGATGTGGGACTCGATCCCAGGACCCTGAGATCATGGCCTGAGCCGAAATCAAGAGTTGGATGCTTAACCTACTGAGCCACCCAGGTGCCCCTTAGAGAGAGAGAGAGAGAGAGAGAGAGAGAGAGAGTGGGGGGGGGAAGGGCAGAGGCAGAGGAAGAGAGAGAATCTCAAGCATACTCTGCGCTCAGGGCGGACCCCATGGTGGGGCTTGATCTTGTGACCCCCACATCATGACCTGAACCAGAATCAAGAGTCTGTTGCTTAATCAACTGAGCCACCCAGGCACCCCTACAACTCTTTATTTAAACCTGAGCAAGCCTGTCATTCCTGCTCTGTGTTTCTTTAAAATTAGTGATAATATTTTTCTGATTTTTAGATCTGTTGTGAAATTAGTTAAATGTAACTGGAATGAAAATGCCCTGAATTAATTTTATTATTTTGAAATATTAATTGTAAAAGATCTTAGTAGTGTAGTAAAGGAAAAATCATATCACTGTTAAGTTTTTAAATTTTAAATTATGTTCAAGATAATATAACTTAATGAGTGCATTTATATGAATATTCAACAGAAGTGGTTAAGATGAGTAAAAACCCAATTTTCATTGTTCTTAAAGTAGCTTGATTTATACAACTTTATTTGCTGGGTACTTGTTCTTGGGACTCCCTCTAGTGTCTCTGTTTGAAAGCATCATTAGGTTAACAGGCTTAAAAATAATTACTATTTCCGTTGAACAGATTTTAAAATACATAGAGGATCATACTTTTTGAATTTTTTTTTGTTTTCTTCAGTTTTTTATTTTGCTGTTATATTTAACTTGCTTTTTAATGGGGTCATGACAGGAATTGACTTCTGTATTCTTGTATAATTTCAGTATTGCAGGGTTAAAATCTGTTCTGCTCACTTTCAGAGTCCCATTTTCTACCTTATGAATTATTAGGATAAAAATTATTCTGACTTGAAATCACTTTCAGCCATTACTTACTTATACACCTTGCTTTGATCAGGAATAGATGTATCAAAATGACCAAATGAAAATTTCTTTGAAGATACAGCAATTTGGCTTATTATGGCAAACGTTTGAATACATAATGTATTAAACAGAAACTAAAACAATAATAAATAAAAGAGAGTCTACTCCAGATTGGTAACTACACCACCATTTATATGATTTAGCTCATTTCTCTACATTTCTGAAGTATTACATTTTTTGAACTATTGTTTCTTATCTTTGGAATCAACTTTAAGTTTCTATATGTTAAGTATTGAATTGAAACTATGCCTTAATATATATTATTTGAAAGCTGAAAGGATATTTGAATATTTACTTCCTGGGGATTATTTAAATCTAATGGATTTAAGTAAGTATTGAACCCAGAGCTCAAATATTGTTACTGAATATTTATGAAAATAATATATACTTGCATGGCTTATATCTAATATCTAGAAACTCTGGGATAATTAAATGTAAATGTATATTCACACACAGAAAAACACACAAGTGCATTTGGATTTTGGTGACAAAGTATGCCAATATGGAAAAATGAGTAGCAAAGTTAAGTTCTGGGAAAAAGTTATTTGTTCAGTTTATATAAGATTGTGTACATTGATTTTCTTTGCCTTTTGTGAAAGTTAGTGTTCCTATTTATGATATTGATGAAATATTCATGAAGAAGACAGTATAAGAATAGAAGTCTGATACATATATTCAGTTGCCTAAAGAAAAATGTAAAGTGGCCTTACTCTTTATCAGTATTAGTGTTTCTAGTAGTTATATATCCTTTCTGTTATCTGTATACCTCAATCCATTATATATACTCACATTTTAATATTTGTTACGTGTTTCAGGGTGTTGACGATGCCTTCTATACATTAGTTCGAGAAATTCGAAAACATAAAGAAAAGATGAGCAAAGATGGTAAAAAGAAGAAAAAGAAGTCAAAGACAAAGTGTATAATTATGTAAATACAATTTGTACTTTTTTCTTAAGGCATACTTAAGTAAAAGTGGTAATTTTTGTATATTACACTAAATTATTAGCATTTGTTTTAGCATTACCTAATTTTCTGCTCCATCTGAACTGTTAAGCTTTTATCTTGAATGCTTATTTTAAAATGACAGTGGAAACTTTTTTTCCTCTAAGTGCCAGTATTCCCTGAGTTTTGGTTTTTGAACTAGCAATGCCTGTGAAAAAGAAACTGAATACCTGAGATTTTGGTCTCGGGGTTTTTGGTGCATGCAGTTGATTACTTCCTATTTTTCTTAACCAATTGTGAACTTTGATGTGAAACAAATTAATGAGCTTTCGAATCATCCCTATTCTGTGTTTTATCTAGTCACATACATGGATTAATTACTAATTATAACTTCAGTTGAGATTTCATGATTGGTTTTACTGAAACATTGAGGGAACATGAATTTATGGGCTTCTTGTAGATTCATCTTGTAGGTATAATGTCCTATAGTTTCAGTCACCCTTAATGAATGTAAAGTTACACTGTTCACAAGGTTTTCTCCATCTTTCACTGCTATTTGTCATAGTCACGCTCCCAAAAATATTATATTTTTTCTATAAAAAGGGAAAAAATGGAAAAAAAAATACAAGGCAATGGGAAATATTAAAAGGCATTTACTTTCCATATTAGATAAATTCCTATAATACTCTGAATAGCTTTTCCTGTAAAGGCAGACCCAGTATGTAATGAGGATTATAGCAACCATTTTGGGGCTATATTTACATGCTACTAAATTTTTGTATTAATTGAAAAAATTTTAACATGTATAAAAAATTCCCATAGGAATTAAATACAGTCTCCCTGTGTCAGATTGCTCTTTCTTAGCATAACTTTAAATCTTTTCTTGATCTTTGGTCTTAGAAAATAGTTTTAATTCTGGTAGTGACGTTAAAGATTATTTGGGCCAGTTAGCTTTAGTAGATGTTAAAGAGACCAAGGTTGCAAGGCCAGGCCTGGTGTAAACCTTTGAGCTTCATTAAGAGTTTCATAGTATGGACTGGCATCCCTGTGGTCTCCCTGTTGTCATGAATTGGGTGGTCAGAAGTGGGGACGAGGAGAGTTTGGATAAGATGCATCCTCACTATGTGGTGGTCCTGCTAACAGATCAGGAACATCACTTTTGTTTAAAAAAAAAAAAAACAAAAAAAACAACCAATAGAACTTTTTAAAAACATTATTTCAATTAAGATTTTGGGGTAGGGGGTGGCAAGACTTTAATTTTTTTTTTTTTTTTTTAAACAATGAAGTGAAAAAGTTTCAAAATCTTTAGTATTGGCTAGTTCTCAACACTGGCTAAAGTAACATTTCATACACACTTTGCAAGTGTGGTCCATATTTAAGAATGTCTAATGCTTAAATAATAAATTAATAACAATGATTCTTTCAGTGCATTTAAAATGTATTTTTAAATATCTGAAGTGAGATGGTGTGTTGAGGTGAAAATATCACTGGACCAGGAGGAAGGTGACTTAGATTCTAGTTACATGTCTTTTACAATTTCAATTTTGGGCAAATCACTTACTGTCCATTTCTTCATGTTAAAAGGAGTCATCTCAGAGGCTTAGCTAGCATTACAACTATGTGATTTACATTCAGTTTACATAAGGATATACCTGTTTGTCAATCTCAGCACAGTCTGTAACTTTTTACCTGTGTTATCTTCAGCGCCAGTCTTAGACAAAGTTGTGCAAGAGGTGAAGTTTATTTTTGAGTATCTGTTCTCCAGTAGCAGTACTCCTCTCCCATAGTAGTGTCATCTTGCCTGCCTACCCTTCTACATGCCACATGACTTTCTTTTCTTCTAATTCCCCTAACCTCAAGATTTATTGCTGCTTTGGGTATCTCCATGAAGGCTTCCCACCAAGTCACATTGTTCAGGCTCAACTTAATCTGACAGATACTGTAATAGGATCTGACCTAATAGCTAATTTTCAGGTGGTAGCTAGAGCAATTTAATTTTGATCCTTTGAACATCATCTCTTTGCTACCTGGTCGACTAGTGGCTAAGTAGGAAAAGTAGGATTTTTCATACCTGCTAAGAATAGACCCTATCCAGTAGAAGAATTTAATAAATTTATATTAATAAATACTGAAAGATTCCTTAGATAATCTAAAACTAGGACTAGACCTGGTAACAGTGATACATTCCATTATTTTAGTAAGTAAAATCTTCTTACAATGAAAAATACTTTAAAATTTAATTCATAAAGCTTACTTTTTAAGCAGAATTCATTTATCCAGCAAATATTTGAGTGCCTATTGGATGCCAGGTACTGCACAAGGCAGTGGGGATCCTACAGTATCCCCAACAAGGGACATAATTCCTATCCTTAAGTAGTGCTGATATTTTAGAGTGGTCTGTAATCTTAGTGAGGCATTTGGCACATGACCCAGAAATAAGATAATGCATATTTTAGTTTTGCAAAGAAGGGATATGGTCTCTAAGGTTTCTTCCAGTTCTAAAATAATTGTTTCGCTCTGATTCCAATAAAGCTGTTTAATCAAGCTACTTTATGTAGATCACTTTACTTCATTATTTTAAGGGAGTAAACGTGACTGTATTTTTTATTTGGGATAATTATGTGACTTTATTGGGACAATTGTAGTACACATTAAATCGTATGTCAGATGATAACATTAAAATTCCCAAGTGCGTAATATTCTAGTTGGTCTCTTTGTATCATAATTAAAATAGACTTAAATATTGAATTCAAAAACAGTTTTATTTATCTGGGTATGAATAAACAGATGCCTGAACTAATTCACAGAAAAGGAAACTTCTGTGTAAAATTCAGTCCAATTTCTGAAATGCTATGCTAAACTACAGGTTTATGGAACATTATCTAGATAGGGTGTTAAGACTTTATATAGTACTTCCTCTTGTTTCTACACAAGAGAAAGAAATGGCCATACTTCAGGAATTGCAGTGCATAACTGAGGGATTTTTAGGACTCTTGAATTTTTTGATGTAGCTGGGCAACTTTTTTTAGGCAGTGGTAATCATCCTTTATTATGTGAATTTTGAATGGTTTGACAAAAGGTTTGTTTTTGTAGAGATTTTAAAAGGGGAGCGATAATCCTAGAAAGAAATATTATGTAATTATTACGGCCTTAAAGATAAAAATCCTTGGAGTTGAAAAAATTGCTAAATTACCTAGTCTTAGACATTAACATGTTTGTGGAAGAACATAGCAGAAGTATGTAGTATAATTTGAGTGAATATTACCAATTAGGAATTCTAGGCTCTATTTTAACTGAGTCACACTGCATAGGAATTTAAAACCTAACTTACAGGTTATCAAAATCTTTGCCACCATTGCACAATTTTGTCCTAATATATATAGAAACTTTTGTGAGGCATGTTTGGTTGCAGTTTGCACAAGTTCATCTCATTTGTGTTCCAGTGATTTTTTTCTTCTAACCATTTTTTTCAAAACAATAAATACACATTTTTTTTTTGGTAGGCAATAAAAACTGTCATTTCCATTGTCAAAAAGTAATTTCTTGATAACTGTATTAATGGTTTTTAAAAAACCATCAGTTACTTTAAAACTGAATTTATATTTAATAACTTCTGTATTAGTGTTGGGTAGCATGAAATCTGCATTGAGAAACTGAACAACATACAACTGGTAGCTGTAAATTCCTTCAGAAAATGAAAATTATTTCTTCCTAAAGATATATTTACATCAGTTCTTGAAGAATAGTCATAACTAGATTAATAACTGTTTTAGTTTAATAGTTTTAAGTGCCTGTTTGGGATGATGATAGGCAATTTAGATGAATTTAGGAAAAAAACAAAGTTCTAACTTACAGAAATGTCCATTACAGAGCGTCGCCCTCCCCATAGAGCTAAATGGGTTATGTAATGTTTTATCCAAAAGTTTCCAATTCCACTGTCTTGTGTTTTCATGTTGAAAATACTTTTGCATTTTTCCTTTGAGTGCCAATTTCTTACTAGTACTATTTCTTAATGTAACATGTTTACCTGGAATGTATTTTAACTATTTTTGTATAGTGTAAACTGAAACATGCACATTTTGTACATTGTGCTTTTTTTTGTGGGACATATGCAGTGTGATCCAGTTGTTTGCCATCATTTGGTTGCGCTGACCTAGGAATGTTGGTCATATCAAACATTAAATTTAAAAATGACCACTCTTTTAATTAAGATTAACTTTTAAATGTTTATAGGAGTATGTGCTGTGAAGTGATCTGAAATTTGTAATATTTTTGTCATGAACTGTACTGCTCCTAATTATTGTAATGTAATAAAAATAGTTATGGTGACTCTGGTAGTGTGTACTTCTTGAAATTTGAAACCTTTGCCCCACAATTGATATGGAATAGTTTATAAGCCACAGACACTATTATTAGTGAATCTTTTGCAGCTTATATGTTAGATATATTCTTTGTGAAAGGTGCTGTGAACATTATGTAAAGGTTTAAGTGTTTGCTTAAAACCATGTTAGATTTAGGTCCGTTTACTATGTTAACTCATTAAGAAGTAGATGCAAAACAGATCTGCCTTTATGATGAAAGAACAGAATAACATTATTTATTACTTTTTATCAGTAAAGGTAATTGATACACAACAGGTGACTTGTTTTAAGACCTAAAGGGAGTCAGCAGCAAAATTAATAATGGAAGATATTAAATAGGTATGTATATAATGCCAGTCACTGGCAGCCTACTTCAAGATCAGAAATAATCTTACTCCATACATATTATTTCTGTAACTGCACTTAAATCATTACCATGTGCTATTTGTTTTGTAGTGAACCTTGAATGTGTGCTGTTAATGTATCAAATAGGTTCAAAAATAAGGAAATAAGATGGTACTCCTTCAAAAGTTAAGGAAAATTAATGTGCAATAAATTATTTTGCTTAGTTACATGCATTAAATGGCATTCTCTTGTCAGTAAAATGGAGAAATGGGCTAAGAATAATTGGTAAAAACTTATTAAAATTATTTTAAGTACATTATATTTTCATTCAAAATTGGGTACTCATTAATTTTTAATTGGTAGTTGGCTATATTGCTGGTTTTGTATAAAAATTAAACATTAAAGGGCGCCTGGGTGGCTCAGTTGGTTAAGCGACTGCCTTTGGCTCAGGTCATGATCCTGGAGTCCCAGGATCGAGTCCCGCATCGGGCTCCCTGCTCGGCAGGGAGCCTGCTTCTCCCTCTGACCCTCCCCCCTCTCATGTGCTTTCTGTCTCTCTCATTCTCTCTGTCTCAAATAAATAAAATCTTTAAAAAAAAAAAAAATTAAACATTAAGGATTGCTGATAAAGCTCTGTGAACAGAAGTTGAAACCTATTTTAGTTCATTAAGGCAGCTCAGGCATTTTTTACATGACGTGTAAATCTTGCCATTTTAAGTTAGTTACTTTTATCATATCTGGTATACATAAACAGCTGGCATTGAATTCCAGTCAAATTATAGTAATAGTGATCAGTTAGTTTTGTTGGTATCTGAGTAATAGCGTTGTTTCATCGCTCTGTATTTCCTAAGGAAGTATAAGGCTTCTAGCTCTTTCATTACAAATTCGCCCCATCCAATAAGCTCTTTGATCTTCTCTGGGTCCTTCACATCTTTGTTTTTAAGGAAAACACTCTTCAGACGCCTTTTAAAATAGTCTGCTCCTTTTGGATAGTCTCGCCCAAGATACAGCAGCTTAAAAAAGAAAGGTTACATATTTCTAAACAATCTGTATCTCAATAACATATGTATAAAACTGGCAACATAATTACTTACATTTTTATAAAGATTCAGTACTTCTCCTCTTAAAGAATTGGCCATTTTCATTTATTATGGAAAGTATCCACTTTTACACATAACATACCTAAAGAAAAATAAAAATTTTTGTAAATAACTGCATTGTAGTCCCAAAAAAGAATAAATGATTTTACACATTGGGAAAAAATGGTAATTTTTTTTTCATTCAATAAATACTTGTTAAGCACTTATGTTCCAAGCACTGGGACATAGCTACAAAATGTCAGATAAGATACCTGCTCTCACAGAACTAACATTTCCTGTGGGAGACATAATAAGAGAATTATGAATTGTGTAAGTCCTATGAAGGGAAAGGGTAATGAGAGAGAAAATGACTTGTCAAAGATAGTTATGTAGGTGTACCTTCTTTTATACAGAGTGGAATGAATTAGATTTGAATCCCAGCTGCATAATGTTACACAGATTAAACTTTATGAGCTTCAATTTCCTTACTGTCGAAAGGAAGACTGTCTACGTTGCTCTCAAGGCAACATTTTCTAGTAGCCCATATTAAAAAATATAACAAAAATTAATACATTTTGTTCATATCCAAAATATTTCAGTGTCATGTTAGATACATATCAGGTGCTTATAGGTATCAGTGGCTTAGTTGCCACCATACTGGACAGCATAGCTTTAGAGTATAGTTCCTGTGACAAGGACATTTTCCTACAGTACAACCATCAGAATAAGGAAGCTAACACTGCTGCATTACTACGTCAAACCACAACCCCTTCATGTTTTGGCAGTCATCCCAAAGATGCCCTTTATAGCAGAAAGTTCCAATTCAAGATTACACATTGCATTTAGTTTTCATGTCTCTTTAGCCTTCAGTCTGGAAACAATTCAAGTTTCCTTGACTTCCATAACTTCATACTTGTGAAGATCACAGGCCATTTATTTTGTAGAATAGCTGGAGACTACCACAGATGTTTAAAGTGCTCAGAAATAACAGAGTAGCCTGGGAAGGGGAGCAAGGGACTGGAGAACAGGAAGGGATCAAAAGGCAGGAGGAAATCCTTGGGGATAATGGAGATGTTTATTATTGTGATTGTGGTGATAGTTTTATAGCTGTATACGTATGTCAAATTAATCAGATCGATTTACACTTTAAGTATAACTTACTATATGTCAATTATACCTCAGTAAAACTTTTTAAAAATTGGTGTAAGTATGCTGGTAAAATGTTAAGAGGAAGGCTGGGAGATAGTGAGGTACACAAGGAAATAGAGATCTAAACCACAAGGTTGCCAGTTAGTGGTCAGAATAGGTGGTTCAACCAGCCACCAGTCAAGTTGCATAAAACCAGGTATGCCTCTCTGGGGTGGGAGCCCTGGTTGTAAACACTTATTTTAAATTTTTTTAAAAATATACTTGGAAGACTCCTGCTGCCGGGATGGCAGCTAAATGAAGTCCTTTTCATTTCTTGCTGAAGTTCATAAATCTGATTCTCTGGCTTCTCTTTCTTAAGGGGGAAACATGAACAAACATTATTTCCATTTTAATTCTTACATAATTCCCCACTTTACTAGTAGTTTTTAAGCTAATTCACATAGCAAACATACAATGTAGCAGAACAATTCTTTCTTTTTGAACTTTCTTGAAATTTTCTGTTTTTTTCCGGATTGCTTTTTCTGCTTTTGTCTAGATTGCTTCTGAGCTTTCTTCCCAAGTCTTTTTTTTTTTCCATTTTTACAAGTGAAGGACAAAAAAAGCTTTTTTAGAAGATTGCAGCTTAACAGACTGAGCCTCACTTAGGGATTATCTGAGTGCACCCTTTGTTGGGGAACCTCTGAAGTCAAAGTCATTCCTCCTGGACTGGCTGATCAGATTCCCCAGAGAAGAAACTTCCAATTTGCTGAGGGTTTGCCTATTCAACCTGAAGAAATGGAAGAAGGATGGGGGCCTTGCATTCAGCATTATGTACACCAAATTTAATTTCTGTTTCCAGTGTGGTTCTCATGTACTTAGTATACGTGAGGACACCTCAGTGCATAGAATAATATTTAGTCAGAAATACATCTCCATGCTTCCGTGGAGTGAGGTGCAGTCCCTCTAGAGGTGTTTTTCCTAAATAGCTTTTACTTAATCTCTTTGATTTACTTCATTCTTCATTTCCAATTCCATTGGCCCTGTTCCAGTGCCTTTTGGAATTATGCAGTATAAATTGTGCTTTTCTGGTGTGTTGAGTCACATTCATTCACCTGGTTTGCAGCTTCCAAATTTTTACTGTTGTCATCTCTTTTCTCTCTCATTTTTTGTTTATTTTTATAACCCTTCACTGACGATCAGTGGAGTTTTGAAAGGAAATGAAATTAGAAGGGTACATTTAATCTACCATATTAACACCTAATTTCCATTTTAAAACTTTTTTTGTTGTTTGCTGAGAGCCACTTTCTAGCGTGGTTTAATCTTATTGAAGAATGGCTCTTAAGAATCACATGCTTTAGGGGCGCCTGGGTGGCTCAGATGGTTAAGCGTCTGCCTTCGGCTCAGGTCATGATCCCAGGGCCTGGGATTGAGTCCCGCATCGGGCTCCCTGCTAGCCGGGGAGCCTGCTTCTCTCCCCCTGCCTCTGCCTCTCTCTCTGACTTTCATGAATAAATAAATAAAATTAAAAAAAAAAAAATCACATGCTTTAAAAATCATTCTAAATCTACATAGACATACTTTCAAGTTGCAAATTATAGCCTGTTTAATTTTCTGGCAAAGAACACAGCTTTATTTAACTCAGAATTTATAATTTGTAAAAGCTTAAATTAACCTTTTAAGCTATTGCCTTTTTTTACAAATCATACATAATAAAAGAATTTGCCCAGCAAAAAATGTAGCTGGTTTACTAGGGTAAAATTGTCCTGTTCTTTGATATGTTAATTTGTAGAAGTTAAGGCAGTTTATTATTATTTTATGTTGACCTTCAGGCTTTAAGTTTATTAGCCATTGGGAGAAAGAGGTCTCCTTGGGTTCACCTGGTGAAGTTAAAGTGCAGCAGGGACCTGGGGCTGCTCCTTAACCCTACATGAAGTCATGCAGCTTACTGCTCTTTGTAAAGAGCCAAGCTATTAGGGACTAAGAGAAGCCCCCTATCATTCTGAGAATGTGTATGGTGGGCAAGGGGAAGGAGGTACAATCCCCATTGATAGCTTTTTTCCAATGACTGCGGGCTGAGAGAGTTCAGACTTAACCAACTCCAGTCCTGGGTTAACTAAGAATTGTCATTTTACTGGTGGCCAAAGCTGTTGTTAATCAGTCTTCCTCATGAAGTTCAGATGGCAATAAAAGTTGAAGGAAAATGGGCAAAGAAAGGCAGTGCAATGTTACTATTTATTGGTTTCTAATAGATTTTGACTTCAAACAGCTGAAACACATTTCCCCAAACTAGTTAAGCCTAAAAAGCTTCACATAAAAAACTCTAACACCAGCTCCAAAGGATAGGTCATCAGAGAGGTAGGTGGCAAAAAATTTTTGCCCCCTAAGGCTGGCATTTGGCTTGGTCGAGGCATACCTAGGAGCCAGATTATAGAAGGGAGTTGAAAGGAGCTGGTATGTGTATGTTCCGAATGGGTGGATACTGTGCCAGTCTGAAGGCAAAGAGAGAACAGGAAATCGTCCTTACTCTTAGGCAGCTTGCAAGGGAAGTACTAGAGAGCCAAACTCACTGGTATAATTTTTACAGCACAGTGTCCCTAGAACAGTCTAGTATGTTCTCACACATCCCTAGCACTTCCTCCTCCCTAGGAGGGAGGCGGCATAGAGTGAGAGCTTGAGCAAGTCCTCTCCCCTAGAGGCCTACCATTTTAAGGTAATTTGGGATTACCATTAACACCACTGTATGCCCATCAATCCTAATTGAGTTGACTGAGGTTTTATATCATAAACATTATTAGCTTGACTGAAACACTAAAACAAAAACTTCCATACCGGATGGCTTCAGAACTCTATATGAAGTCGACATTAAGATGTCTTTTATCTTGCTACCAGGGATTTGGGGATGGAGTGTCATAATTTACAATCTGGATTTCTATTTCAATGGGAGTTAATAACACCTCAGCCCACAAGACTAGCTCAGTAATCCTTATTTACTAATATATTTAGTCAATAAAGTTGGGAGAGAGCATTATACAATTAGAATTCAGAGATAAGAAATGCCAACGATTTTAAAGTATTCGATGTTTTGTCATGCTAAAACGGCCCTAAAAATCACAGAACTGAGCATTTGGAAGGAGCTTAATAATCACTTAATTTCTTCTAGTTTCCCTGTTGGTCTAAGTTGCCAATGTTTCTTGATGTGGGGAGGAGACTGAAATTCTAAAGGTTGTGCAACTGGCTACACCATTAGCCTGTGACCTTGGGCTTAATGAGTCTTGCTGGGCCTCAGCGACCTTCAACTGTAGGAAATCCTTTACCCAGGAATTGCTTCAAGTAATTTCCAGTTCTTGTTTAGAGCTGCTCTTAGGAAAACCGGCTTGCAAAACATAACTTGCACAGAAAGTAAACCGAACCATGTGCAAAGAGAAGAATCCAAAGGTCATTAATTTCAAAATAACCAGCCCTCTTGGAACCAATTTATTTACCCCCTTCTCTAAATTGCCAATTGAGCCCCGTTCCCCACTCGGGCCTAAGCTGTGGTGGCCCAGGCAGCCCACCCGGGTGTCAAGTCACTTCACTCAATCGCGTAGCCGGCGTCCCCCTTCCTTCTGGAACCGCCTCACCGAGAGACCGGCCCCAACACACTCCTAGGGAGGAAGAGAGGCTGTCAACGTCAGAAGACGTTCAGAAACCCTATGCCACACCCGGTAGCCCCTGCCCAGACCATACTTCACCGCCTCCAGACCCCGGGATCTGGAAAACAATAAAACGTCCCGGCGGCTGCACTCACGCACTTTCCGGCATTCCACAGCCGTAAAGGCCTCCGACCGCTTCGACTCCGCGCTCTGTCAACAGCGAAGCAGGGCGGGTGTTGGTGTGAGGCAGCCAGTCAGGGAAGGGGGCGGGGCGCCCCACGGAAGGACCCCGGCGCGATTGCGCGGACCAGTGCGCGAGGATTCGCGCTCTTTCCCTTGGGGCAGGTGGGCGGGGCTTGTCGTCCTGACAACCCGGGAGCGTTCGTCCGCACACTCTGAGCTCCGATTTGGCCGACTGCCGAGGGAGGCTGTGCTGGCTGCAGAATGGTGAGCTGGGAAAGTGGGGGACCCAGGTGAAGGGGGGAGCAGTGATTCCCCCGTGTTAAATGATGTAATAAGAGCCTGACGTATTTTAGAGGGGAGCGGGTGGGTTTAAGAAAGAACGCTTACCCCTGTGGGAAATTGGCCTTCCGATCCGTGGCCTTCCCGTCCGGGATCTCAGGGACGGATGGGAGTCTCACACCGGTTTCTGCAAACGGGGGTTGGCCAGTGCGGTCAAATGGTGTCCTAATCTCGCACTGTTGCTAGGTTTAAGAATTGGCCTCAACCTGGTAATTTCCAAGAATGATAGAAGTTTCCACTAAATTGCTTTTTTCATTGGCAGCTTGGCGAAAGTGTGTTTTTGTGCCTCCTCGGTAGTTAATTAAAGGCTGTTGCAGTTTCTTCTGCTTTGGATAGTCATTTTATGTGGTATTTTGTGGAAATACGAATTGTTTTGTGATTCAAATTACTCAGCTTGCCTTGAATTTGTTAAATATAATAAAGCTACTTGTTTTGTTTTAATGCACTCCTCAGCTGTTTCGTCTTTTTCCAGAACACAGACCAACCTGCCCCTTATGAGATGATCTCTGTTCCCATTTTCTTAAATGCGACTTCCATTTTCTGTGGTTAAAACCAAAGGAAGTAGAAAATGTAATTATTTAATTCATTAATTAAGGGGAAATACGGACTACTTTCTTTGTGTTTGACACTAGGCTAGAAGTCAAGGATCTAAAAGTGAATATTACAACCCCTCCCTGCTGTGGGAGACAGGCCAAGCTAATAAGAATACAGTTTTTTAGCTGTAACAGTTGAAATGTCTACAATGGATTAAGTTGGGAATGATGAAATTGGGGTGGGAAAGGGCACAGAAAGGGAAGAGCAGTGCTTTTCAAACTGTGTTTTAAAGTATGAGTATGAATTTACCAGAATTGATGGACAGTGTTCATGTCAGGAAGAACAGGAAGTAAATGGACTTTAAGCTGACTTAAAACTGCTGGTAAATTGAGGGAACAATAAGCCCCTATTTATTTTCCAGTGGAACATAAATTTCATCTTATCCATCTAGCAATGTTTCTCAAAATGTCCCTGGAACATTTGCTTCTACCACATCTGGAATACTTGTTAAGATGCAGATTCTAGGAACAGACTGGACTCCAAACAGTCTGTACTGTTTCCTACTGTACTAGTTTCCTAGGGCTGCCAAGTAACAGAGTAAAACAAACTAAGTGGCTTAAACAGTGGAAACTTACTGTTGCACAATTCTAGTGGCTGATAAATCCAAGATCAAGGTGTTTCCAGGGCTCTGCTCCCTCTGTGGGTGCTAGGGAGAGATCTGTTCAGACCTTTTTCCTAGCTTTTAGTAGTTCCTTGGCCTGTGGCAACATAACCCGCATTCTTTATGTGGTGTTTTGTGTGCGTGTCTTTGTCCAAATTTTTCCTTTTTATTAGGCCACCAGTCGTATTGGATTAAAGGTTATTCTATTCCATTATGATCTCATCTTAATTTAATTACATCAACAACCCTAGTTCCAAATAAGGTAAAATTTGAAGGTACTGGGGAATAGGATGAGAAAGCAGTTCAATCTATAATATCAGTGGGGAGGGGGAAGTGTGTACACTTCTACCACAGGAATATGCATTTTTTTAACAAGCCCTCTGAACTTTGAAGAACTACAGTTGACTCTTGAATAACACTGGTCCACTTTGAACTGCGGGAATCCACTTATAGGCAGATTGTTTTGATAAATACAGTATGATACTGTCAATGTATTTTTTCCTATTTTCCTAATATTTCTTTTCTCAAGCTTATTTTATTGCAAGAATACAGTATATAATACATATAACATACAAAATATGCGTTAACTGTTTATGTTATCAGTAAGTCTTCTAGTCAACAATAGGCTATTAATAGTTAAGTTTGGGGGGAAGTCAAAAGTTATATGTGGATTTTTGCCTGCATGGGGGTTGGCACCCCAACCCCTGCGTTGTTCAAGGGTCAATTGTACTATACTACATGATGCTGTTTTTATGATTTGCAGGAGTACTAATCCCGAACCCACTTCACATTAAAAGCACTAGTGAGAGATGGTAATTTGCCCATCTTAAAATATCACTACTTGAGAACAGGAGCAATACTGTGTGCGTATTCTGCTGTATAGTACTTATTTCAAGATGGGAGTGTATTAACTATTAATTGATAGTAAATACGATGATAAAAATAGAACTCAACTGAAAAAATTATATGTGAGCAGTCTCTACTATTCCTCTTTATATCATCTCCAGTGTCCCAGAGCTCCCTGTGTGCAAATCATTAATAAATATCTGCTGAATGAATTAATGAAATATATGTACTTTCAAGGAGATAAAATCTGCTTCATGTCAGTTTCAACATTTATATTTAATATAAGTTGATAATCTTATAGCTTGAACCAGTAATTTTTCCTGGATAAGTTGTCAGATGTGGAATGTGTATAATCTTATAGTCACATGATCTCCTACAGATTGCTTATCAGAAATCTAATGGACACATGAGCCTAATCAGGAAATTACAAGTAGTGTTAATTGAAAAACACATGTAATGATAATGCTAATGGTAAATATTTATTGCAATACTGTGCTTTCCAAATTAATTTCCGAAGAAGGATAGATCTGCTTTAAGACACATTGCTGAAGAGAATCGTTTTATCATAGCTTTGCCTGCTTTAAATAACTGATTCTTTTTCTAGAAAATCAGCAATCTAATTTTTCAGAAAGATTATTTATTTATGAGATCATTTCCACACTTTCAAACTTGACATCAGTACCTGTATTTTAGTCAATCACTTGTTCCTTGGAACCCTTTATCTCCCTGACTGCTACTTCTGTGTAGTGGTAGGTCATTTCATTACACATAGGTCATTGACTGTCACAAGAAAGAGTGTAAGATTTAAAGAGTGTATAATTTTAAAAAGGTGCTTCAGTGGGTGAACTATTTTTGTTTTTCCTAGACCTGCTTGTAGTTTTGTCTAAATTCTTTTTTAAAAGACTTTATCTTGAGATAATTTTAGTTTTACACAAAAGTTGCAAAGATGATGCAGAGTTTCCTTATGCTTTTTACCCCGCTTCTCCTAATTTTCACATTTTATATAATCTTGGTACTTTTGTTAAAAATATCTGAGTTTTTAAAAAATTTATCAATCCTTTTGTTTTTCCAACTTTCAGGGTCCCAAAGCAAAAAAGGTAGGTAGAAATTATTCTCTCAAAATAGTTTTATAAGCATTGACATTGTATGAACAGAATTTTTAAACATTTTTTAGTTTTATTATAGTTTATAATAGGATTTACTAAGCTTACTTTTTAGATTATTACTGCTATTTATTTTATTATTTTTTAAATTATGTTAATCACCATACATTACATTAGTTTTTGATGTAGTGTTCCATGATTCATTGTTTGCATATAACACCCAGTGCTCCACGCAGAACGTTCCCTCTTTAATACCCATCACCAGGTTATCCCATCCTCCCACCCCCCTCCACTCTAGAATCCTCAGTTTGTTTTTCAGAGTCCATAGTTTGTCACGGTTCGTCTCCCATTCCGATTTCCCCCCCTTCATTCTTCCCCTCCTGCTATCTTCTTTTTTTTTTTTTTTAAACCTATAATGTATTATTTGCTTCAGAGGTACAGATCTGTGATTCAACAGTCTTGCAGACTTCACAGCGCTCACCATAGCACGTACTCTCCCCAATGTCTATCACCCAGCCACCCCATCCCTCCCAACCCCCACCACTCCAGCAACCCTCAGTTTGTTTCCTAAGATTAAGAATTCCTCATGTGAGTGAGGTCATATGATACATGTCTTTCTATGATTGACTTATTTCACTCAGCATGATACCCTCCAGTTCCATCCATGTCGTTGCAAATGGCAAGATTATATTCTTTTTGATGGCTGCATTATTCCATTGTATATATATACCACATCTTCTTTATCCATTCATCTGTTGATGGACATCTTGGCTCTTTCCACAGTTTGGCTCTTGTGGATATTGCTGCTATAAACATTGGGGTGCACGTATCCCTTCGGATCACTACATTTGTATCTTTGGGGTAAATACCTAGTAGTGCAATTCCTGGATCATGTGGTAGCTCTATTTTCAACTTTTTGAAGAACCTCCACACTGTTTTCCAAAGTGGCTGTACCAACTTGCATTCCCACCAACAGTGTAGGAGGGTTCCCCTTTCTCCACATCCCTGCCAACATCTGTTGTTTCCTCACTTGTTAATTTTAGCCATTCTGACTGGTGTGAGGTGGTATCTCATTGAGATTTGGATTTGGATTTCCCTGATGCCGAGTGATGTTGAGTACTTTTTCATGTGTTTGTTGGCCATTTGGATGTCTTCTTTGGAAAAATGTCTGTTCATGTCTTCTGCCCATTTCTTGATTGGATTCTTTGTTCTTTGGGTGTTGAGTTTGATAAGTTCTTTATAGATTTGGATACTAGCCCTTTATCTGATATGTCGTTTGCAAATACCTTCTCCCATTCTGTCGGTTGTCTTTTGGTTTTGTTGACTGTTTCCTTTGCTGTGCAAAAGCTTTTTATCTTGTGAAGTCCCAATAGTTCATTTTTGCCCTTGCTTCCCTTGCCTTTGGCGATGTTTCTAGGAAGAAGTTGCTTCGGCTGAGGTCGAAGAGGTTGCTGCCTGTGTTCTCCTTTAGGATTTTGATGGACTCCTGTCTCACATTTAGGTCTTTCAACTATTTGGAGTCTATTTTGTGTGTGTGGTGTAAGGAAATGGTCCAGTTTCATTCTTCTGCATGTGGCTGTCCAATTTTCCCAACACCATTTGTTGAAGAGACTGTCTTTTTTCCATTGGACATTCTTTCCTGCTTTGTCAAAGATGAGTTGACCATAGAGTTGAGGGTCCATTTCTGGGCTCTCTATTCTGTTCCATTGATCTATGTGTCTGTTTTTGTGCCAGTACCATACTGTCTTGATGATGACAGCTTTGTAATAGAGCTGGAAGTC